ATATATATATATATATATATATATATATATAGGCCCATACATACAATATAATATATAATATGTGTGTATATATATATAGTTATATATTTATAAATATATAATATCTATATACACACGTGTATATTATATACATCATAACACGATGATAGGTAGTTAAACCAGTACAGAGTGATGCACTGATGGAGAAAGGTACCAACCGAACACCACGAGCTCATTTACCAGGGGGTAACTTTTGAATCAAGGAAGACGACGAAAATGGACAGACACTTGTTTCATGCAAACGTATAAAACAATGTAAAAAAAAATTCAAATCCCAAATAAGATCTCTGTCAAATTCCCACACACTTCACCTTTGACACTTCATGGTATATACTTCATACCATCAGTACTTAGGTGAAGCATTAAAAAAATGTATTAGTGTTCGCTTTACACAGACAACCGCATTCACGAGTACTGTTTTGTTGAGGACTGGTCAGGCGTGTTCCATGAACATGAACGGTAAACGATCTACCTACCAACCAACCTACCCACCCGCCTACCCATCTGTCTATCTGTGTTCTACTCTACTCTGTCCGTCTATCCAGGCCTGAGCTAAAAATTCAAAGACTGTAAATCAAACTAGCAGCAAATAGTTCACTCCATGTAAGGAACAGAGCAGTAATCTGAAAAAGCCCGTTTTGCCGACCAAATGAAACGGCGATTCCATTGATCCTTGACATTTAAATGTCATGTTTTGTAGCCTTCGTAAAAACTGAGTGTACAGAAAATAACGACCGTGTCATGAAAAAAAAATGCTGAAAAGCCAAAATCTCGTTTAGGGTCAAATTTATTATTTATAGAGATTTTTCTTTCACATGCTCTCGGGATTGAATCTCTCAAGTCAGCAAAGAGCCCACCATGTAAAGACTTCTTTTACAACACTATAACACACCAACACAAATCATCTATCATCATCATTTCGATGTTTTAGAACACAGTTACTATCGGCTGTGCAAATATTTTAGAACTAACAGTGAACAGAGTTTTCTTGGTTTTGTATTTAATTTTCAAGAGAGAACTCAATACGAATGCGTTGTTGGTCGAGATTGTAGACTGAACCAAACTAAAAACAAACAAACAAACAAACAACCCCCCAAAAAACTAGCAATACACTGCAATTTTAAGATACATATTTCTTACATTATTTCAAAAACTGCGTTGAAAACAATATTATACCATAAATAATATTGTTCGGCTGAGACAAACGAAAACAAACAGGTGCAAGGATTTTCTACTACGTCGTTCACAAGATGTTTAATCCCAAGCTGTACAACTGACAGTAAACAGGACTGAAATAACAAGTATCCCTTTTCACCGTTTATAGTGCAATACCTGATACCAAGACAGGCAACCCGCACCTTGCAAATACCAGGAAGTCATTCATAAATGGCGTTAAAAAAGGTAAGATAAATAACGGGAGATAAATAAGGCATTGACCGCTGACAAACATCCATTTCTTTTATAATGTATTAGAACTTTCTGGTTCAAGGACATGTTGGACGTTTCATTCAGACTGGGAGCATCGCTCGAGTGTTAACTACTTGTTTATCTTTTTATCTTTCAACCTAAAATATTGCGATGAGTCTTTTATTCGTTTAGCTTAGTTTTAGTTAGAGTTTTATGATACATGCACCACAATAAATAGGTCCTGTAAGCTCCGCAGATTAGAGGCGATATTAAAGAGTAACACGGTTGATAAGAAAGAAAGAAGGATAAAACCACACCCAAACGCTCGCCTACCTGCCCCCGTTCACTTCTTCCTTGACAACCTCTAATAAATAGTTCCACCATGATTGCCATTCTCAAACATACATTTTGCCCACTAGTACTGAACGTAGGCATATATTATGACAAGCATGGCCTTTTGAAGTTACAGACTAAAGGAGGCAGACTGATGAATCTCGAATACAGTCTCTCAGGGTTTTGAACGAAAGTGAAAAGACCCGTTCTTGGGTGTTATGAGATTTTGGCAGTGCATGCCAAACAAACGTGAATGAAATATTGCAGACAGAAACGATTCCCAACCGACTTGTTTCTGTGAATGACAACGTCAGAAGAAAAACAAAAACAACAAACGAGAGAAAAGTTGTGAAATAAAAATCCATGCAGTTCAATATCAACATGCTGTGCAATGGTAGACAGGATCATTACCTGAGAGAAACGACAAAAAAGCGGTGAAACATATAACAATCATCCCATTTTACATAAAACACTAATGCAAGTATAACATGTGTAAAAAAAACAGATAAAGAGTGAAGGGGAAAACTGTACGCGGATTGCTGCCGTGTAATTCAAAAGGACATTAACTGCGGTCTCAATTTTAAGTATTGTCATCTTTTCAGGACAAAAGACCCTACTTAGATAAAAAGCCGTGACTTGGGGGAGTCATAAAGAACATACTTACTGTTCTGGAAAGAATAAGTTTGCCTATTTATTTTTTAAAAATTTATTTATTTTTTCTAACTTGATTTCTGTGCCCCGCAACAATCTAATGTTGTGAGTAACTGCTATGCACTTACAAACATTTTGAAAAAAAAATCAACAATATTATTTTTTTTTAAAGAGTCCGGAATTCTTTCTGAGTTATACATGTTTAGCTAAGAAAACGTCTTCAAACACAGTATAAAAATGGTACTGTACAGAGGTATATCAAAAACACAAAGTCACAAGAGACGAACACAACAAATAAACAGTGAGTAGAAAGAACTGTCCTAATATCCATGGACAACGACAAGGGGTGCTCTGTGCAGGGCTGTGTAGAAACTGGAGAAACCTTACCAGTTATAGCTATCTTAGCTGACCACTTGGAAGTACCGTCGAGCACACTTTGTTTTACAGCCTTCATGTGTCCGGAGTGAGACTTTTTATCTACCCCAAACACTTGTCTGAGCCGCACAAAGTGGGAAAGGCAAAGAGAAGTCCGGACTTACGTAGAGAACACTCACTCAACACAATATCATGACTATGGAACTGTTAAGGGTGCGGCCATTGCAAATAATCCCTGATCGTATCCTAAAACAAACCCTACAATTACCAGGGAAGCAATACTTATCACTGGTCGCACTAAAGTAAACATAAATATACGAGGAAACAATAAGTCAGGACTTGGCAATCGCACAAAAATAGTGTATCACATCACACCATTGAACCATAAATTATCGTTCGTAAATACGAAGATTTCCTGGGCCAAAATATACCATCCAAACTTTTTGAACAAATACTAAATGACACAACATATTTCTGACACTGCTGAGTTGGTTCAGGACAAGAATCAATGACTTTTCCCATTTGATATAGAGACCAACAGTGTGTATGATTAGTAGCCCCCCCTCTCTGTATGTATGTGTGTGTGTGTGTGTGTGTGTGTGTGTGTGTGTGTGTGAGAGAGAGAGAGAGAGAGAGAGAGAGCACCAGGCAAAGGGACAGGCAGGACGTTAGAGTGA